TAATATTTTTCGCACCCAGGTGCCTGCTTGTAGCAGGTGCCATTTCCAGCTTCCCCTCTGGTGAGTTTTATAACACGATTGTAGTTTTGATCCTCTTTTATGAGGTAGATGTAATCTGCCCCTGGCTCCGTTAAGTTGATTCGTTTATACCACGTTTCTCCTACAGGCACTGTTGAAGAAAATTTTGAAGTTTTACCAAATAATTTATTATCAAAATTATTTTCTGACAATTACTTGATTTACCCAGCATTGAAAAAATCCAATCCTTCACTCTATAACTCCCACAACCTGCATTTAAAAAATAAACTGTCTGATTAGCCCCATCCACCCCCTCTTTAACACACCCTATTCTCCCACTTTCCCAAAATATAACATATGAAACAACTGATTTGTATTAAGTAGCATTTCTGTGCAAAAATGTACACGACATTGTAATTAATTGACCACATGTAACACTGTAATCCTTTTTTAAGGTAGTTTGCAAGCATAACATTGCACACCATTTCCTGTTTATAATAACACATGCAAAAAGCTTAAAGCTTGCATGTTGGCACCCTATTATTTCTGTTCAAAATGTTTAATCCTTTAACCCCTAAGAGTGACTAGCATCTAATTTCTCCTGAGAATATCATCCCTGCATTACTCATTAAGGCTACAAGAATAAATGAAATGATCACCACTTAAAGAAGATCTTGATTGTGAAACAAATTCTCCTTGTGAATATAAATGTATAGAAAACAGTATCCTGTCCCAAAGCTTTAATCAAATATATTTACATCACAGAAAAATAAGTGATCTTCAACAAAAAGATGCCTACTGTATCTCAGGCATTCACTTATTCTGGCAGCCCTCAAAAAGTTTTTGTTTTTGGTAACCTCCCTTACCCTTCTCTAAGAAGAAACCCAAGATGAGACCCTGGGAAATTAATATGTTCCCAAAAGCATATTCATTTGAAGCAAATAAGGCAATTTAAACCTTGGTACATACAAGACACAGTCCAGAAACTGTCTTGTAAGAGAATGAGTCACTATCAGCTGCATATCCAAAGAGAAGTGGCGGAGAGGGTATGCTTTTAATACCACAGTCATTTTCAGTTTAATTCTAGGTAAAAAAAACATGAGCTGTATAATCATATAAAGGCCTTCTTTCGATGGAATTGGCTGCTGCCTAGCTCGAGCATGATTGAAAGGTGGTCTGGTAGTGGGCTACAGTTAAGTCCTTGAAAATGCACAGAAGGACTGATAGGGGCAAAAAGCTATAGAATATGTAGTTTTACAGTTAACCCTTTCACTCCCAAGATCTAATTAGTAATTCTTCCTACTGTCTGCCACACAATTCTTATGATGTTAGTTTGGAGAATTTTGGTATTGGACTGATCAACTATGAATACCCTAATTGATATTTTCTTAATTCACATCACTTGTCTGCTTGATAATGTAATGATATTGTAAGGAGAAATTCTGTCTTGGTCACTAATGGGAGTTGAAGGGTTAAAGTAAATTAGTGGACAGAATTGAGTTTGACATTAGACATTTATTTGTGCCTAAGCCAGTCAGTACTAGTGAGATAAATCTTAAACAAAAATGTAGTTGTGAACCTACCAGTATAATTTTGAACAGGCGCAGGCTTGACAGCACCTTGTCCTATCACACCTAGGAAGTAAATAAAAACCTTGAGACTGTGAACATATGAAAATCATCTGTATGTGTACCGCAGATAAAGAAGTGAACATGAGAAAAATAGGGCCCCTTACGGGTCACTTAACACAAAAAGTATTTGCAGTTTTTTTGATAAGTCTAAAAAAGCAGCTGTGTGGAAATACTTCAACCCAACTCATTCCTTGTGACTTGGTAGTTTCAATCAATATAAAACAACTAATCGATAACACAGTTAAAATAAGAACAAATTACTCATATAACTCCCAAGAAATACCCATTAATACCCGCCAAACAGCAGTATTGAGTTCAGCGGTAAATGATGATTGAAATTATGAGCGAATAGCAAGAAAACTTACTGCGCATGTGACACAGTCATGTGACAGTAAAAAGCATGTCCTTGATGTTCTCGTTGACAAATTTTTTCCCTCGGTCGAGTACAAGCGATCGATAACAGTGGGTCAAGTAAGATGAGAGGCAAATTCAAGCCTTCCTTAGAGTTTATGGACAGCGACTGTCAAAACGTAAATCCCAAGCTTATAAACTACCCTTCTTCGTAGCACTAGTCCGACATATTGTACATCGTATAAAACGGATTCCGAAAGCCAGGTAAATTACGGGAAAATAATCGAATTACAGATACAGTACTCGCTATTAATAACGAAAGCTAACACTCACCATTAATAACGAACGCTAACACTCACCTACACAGATAGCACTAATCCAAATAATAGTTACTTTAAGCTTGGAGACCATGTCGTTTACCCGCAAGAACCAGAGAAAAGAACACTCCAGTATCCCAACGTGAAATTTATTCACCTTGCGTACTATACATGACGTAACATAAGTGGGAGGGCTCTAAGCTCTATAAGGTTTTAGAAGATTCTAACAGAACAATGCTTCTGATCTTTATATGACAGATTTCCAATTTTCAACCAATCAACATACCTTGCAACTGCAACATGCAACCGCAATAATTTCAACAGCAATGTGAGATCACCGAAGCGATCTAAACTACAGAATTAGAA